ATTGATGATGATAGTAATATCAGTATTGATGATGATGTGATGATGATGAGAAAGAAAATTAAGTGATAATACTATTACTAATACTATTAATAGTAATGATAATGCTGCTGATGATGATAATTATGAGAATGATAACTGTGATAATGATAATGATGATAGTATCGATAGAGATAATGATGGTGATGGTATTGATAATGATAATAATAATGATAATGAAAAAATCACGATAAGAATAGTAACCACTTTTATAAACAAATTTCCAAGCTCATGTATGTGAATTGTTCATGATGATTATAATAAGATATGCATGTCATTAACTTGAATTAGTTAACTTGAGAGAGAGAGAGAGAGAGACATATATGCTGAACAAAATGTAGTAAAAACACGAAATGCCGAAGCCTTTTCACTGTTTTGTTTCTACAGCGAAAGTTGTTCTCGTGTTGTCTTGTTCTTCCTTCCTTTCTTTATAAATACGTAAATAACAAACAATAGCACATGTAAAACTGTACTTTTTAAATAGCTCTAAATAGGCGCTGTACATACATTATATACCATACATCTCTAACAGTATGTTTGTCTCTCCCCCTGTCTGCATGTCTTCTGTTGAAATTCGCACAGACTGAAATGCCCAAATTCATCACTCAGGGTTGCCAGTTTCGAATCTTGTTTCGGATGGAAGTTTTGAAACTGGCGGTTCGAACAGAGACAACAGCAATTCCGCCCGAAGAAGGATTCTTTGTTAACTTGGGCGGGGGTTGGAGCAACAGCCGCCCAACGAGGAATTTCAAGGTGCACAGCCTCCTGCATATGATTATATATATGTTATTATATGTAATTTACCCCGTAATTTCCCTGGAACCATGCATGTCCCTCTCTTGCAATCGGAGCCATAGTTTGTGGGTGAGAAGGTGGTGGGGTGGGTAGTCAAAGCGGCATAATTTCGATGTATTTGGAGCAGAAAGTAAGAGGAATTCATAGATACCAAAATTGTCGCGATCGGTTATGCGTGGGTATTAAAAACAAAAACAAAAAAACTATGATATTTTCATTAATATTCATTTGCAGTCATGTCCGTACATTCCTTCGCTTTGTCGTTTCCACATGTTATTTGCCTACTGGAGCCTAGTTGAAATTTTACCTATACTTTAGCAGAGGTGGGCACTATCGCAATACATGTATTGGCGATACGTTTCGATCGATACTTTTGTATTGGTATCAGTATTGCTTTAGCTACACTATTGCAGTATCGTTTTAACGGCATCGCTAGGGTGTGCAGTGCATCAACCATACAAATTAAATATCAACATTTTGGTTATTTTCTTACTATAAAGAATCCGTTCATAACTTTTTGAGTTATCCTTCTCAAGATCTGGATCCTGAACCGAATATACATCAAAATTGGGCCAAGACACAATTGACAGAATTTGTTCTTAACTTTTTGAGTTATCCTGCTAAGCAACAAATAAATACACAAAATTCTTGGATCCGGATCACCAAAATTTAATGGCATCTAAGTTTGGTTAAGCCACACCTCTGGTAAAAATTTTCATGAATATATGTTCTTAACCTTTTGAGTTATCCTGATAACCAACTAACCAGCAAACAAACAAATCAAATAACCAACGTTTCCATAAACATTACCTTGGCAGAGGTAATAATGCTGTTATTTTAGGTCTTGTGTACATACAATTTTTTCAACTTTCATAACTTATGTTTATATATACTTGAATATAAAGTGAAAATCCTTAAAATCGTTTGATATCTATACATCCCATATATTTTATTCAGGTTCTAGTTTTAAACAACCATAAACAGAAATGCTCGGAAATGGTAATGAAGACCACCTTTTTCTTGGTATGTATAACAGGAAATGGAAATGTCAGTGTGTTTAGTGATTTTGAAAGTGTATGATTTTAAAAGTATTTGGCTTTTCTGTTGTTTGTATTCTATACTTTGTCTTTTTAAAAAGTTTTTTAATAAACTTTTTAAAAAGGGACAGTGACTATCCTTTTGGAATCTTTCCTTATGACTTTGATTAGAATTCTGACAGATCTATTGAAGGAAAGATATAACAACCATGTCAATACAGGGCCTGTTATGGAAGAATCCTTTGAGAACCTGAAATCTTACTTCAGGTAAATACTAGGACTTGAAAGCATGACTATCAAATGCAAGTAGTACGTTCTTTCATAGGTATTTATTTAATTTTTTAAATTCAAATATAAAATAAGCATGTATTTTGCCAATTTCCTTTTGCAAAATATTAACAACTTGTAACATTTATTATGGATATAATTGTGATAAACAGTACATTTTTTTCTACTTTACTTTCAGATGACTCAGAGGTTTGGTAGTGCTTTGCAACATATGGTAACAGCGTATGTCATCACTGATGGCTGTTACATTTTGCTTTAAAACTTCTGCATTAGCATTCTTCAGAGATATATATTTATATAAAGTTATCTCCTCTCTGTCTCTGTCTCTGTCTCTGTCTCTCTGTCTCTGTCTTTGTCTCTGTCTCTGTCTCTCTCTCTCTCTCTCATTCTCATTACAGGGGGGACCTGTTAATGCTGAATGAAACTCCATTTTAAAAAGATAATGAAAAGAAATTCTGATTCACAAGTTTTATATTTGGCATACACATAATTTATATTATTAATGCCTCCTTGGTTCACCTTTACCTCACAAAATCTCAATATGCCTAATCATTATTATAATATGGCTACCTTTTCTGAGAAGTTATTTAATTTTTCCAGGTACATTCTTCTCATAATGTGTTACTTTTTAAATGTTTTCCAGGTACATGCTTCTGATAATGTGTAAACAACCTAATATGTTTTGTATAATTTTCCACTGCACATAACACAATGATAGATAGTAAACATTTAAAAAAATCATAGTTAAATGCATTAACCCAATAAAGGGTCAAAGAACTAGATCTATGTAGCACAGAACGGCATTTAATGATCAGCTATGTAGAGCTATGATACAGTGAATGCTCTGACTTATTAAGGTGTCCTTTGACCAGAAAGTGTCTTATGTTAGTAATTCACACTTTCCATGAATCGGATGACAGCCAATCTATAGACCTGCAATTCTCAGTCCCTATAATAAACAAAAAGACAATAACAAAAGGAAAATATATAAATATGCAGCCACTGAAAAGGTTGTTTCCACGCAGTGCAGGAGAATTGAAAGGATACATGTCAAATTGATCATCATTATTTTCTTCTTTGAAACAGGGAGTTTGTGTGGTGTACAAGATCTGACCCTTTATGGGTTAAAATCAAATGAAATTCATACTGATGCATATTTGGTGCGAATTTTAATTGCAGAAGTTGACAGAAGTACTGGTTAAAGTTTCTATAATAAATAAAAAATCAGAACCTATAACTTTGAAATATATATATATATATATCTATATATATATAGATATAATATATATATATAATATATATAATGTAATTTATTTATTTATCTATTTCATAAAGCCACATACACTATTTGTATGAATAATGTCTTTACCTTATTTTGACTATCAGTTTGGATAATTTATTTCTAATTGTCTAAATGTCATTCACTGGAAGAGTGTATTATATACCTTGGTACTTGACATCTTTTGTGTTGAACAGATCAGTCGAAAGGCTTACAATAACACTTGACATTTTGCACATTGATCCCACAAAAAGCTGATGCAATAATGAGATTCAAATGATAATGTAGTAACTCAGCAGTACCTACAATTTGTGCATTTTTTGGAAATGTGCTAATATCAGCGCGATATCTTGCACTCAGTGTGTTTACATTTTACATAAACTTGGTACTGGTAACATATAACATAGTATTAGTATTAAGGTGTAACATAATGTTCTCCATAGCATGACCAAAAGGTTAGCGGAGTGTAACACTGTCTAAATGTAAATAACATAATCATTGGAATGCTTGCACAATTAGTTAATTAATTGTTCTTCCAATTTATTATTCATAAAGGGAGTCACTAAACAGTGAAGCAGATATACATATCAAGCTGGGTATATCCATTAATATCTGTCATGGAACATTTAATAATTGTCTTACATACAGCTAGCATTTTCACATGATTTTTTTCATATTTTGGATATGCTAATGAACATGTACAATTTTTCAGCACACACAAGTTAAAAAAAGAAAATAAATGAATAATAATAATTATAAAATAAAAAATAAAAAATAAGATAGAAATATAAAGAAACGCGTGACACTTCAAGTTATATTCATTTGTTTACATCTGTGAGAAGAAACAGCTTGCTTAAGAAAATAACACATCTATTCGCCATTTAAGTAAGGACTATTACTTAAGAGCAAGTTTGATATTTAAATGTAGATTTCCTTTTTTTCTCTCTCTTTGTGATACACATTCTTTTAGACAGATATCATATGAATTTATCTAGAACTGTTTACATTATCCACTTGGTTTTCTTTTAAAGCATCAACATAAAATTAGCCACACCTAAGCTTAGTCACTGGTAATCACTGTCATTTTATTACACTGTTTACCAATTAATCATGGCAAACAGTGCAATTTAATACACATTTGTTTTTTTTATGTATTCTATCAACTGATATTAGCTCATTCACTGGAGCTGGAATCAATGCATACACACATACATGGCATTTTCTAAAACAGTTAAGAGATGATATATCTGTCTGTGTACCCATCTTCAGCATTCCGTTTTACGTATGACAGACTCGAGGCTATCCCTTGATTGTTTGGGGGTCTGTTCAATTGCTCTTAATGCAGACAATGCAGACATATTTGCTTCTGTTAGGCGAGAGCTTGTTTCTAGAAGTTCTGTTTCTGTGCCACAAACAGCAATCATCCCTGGAAAGAAAAAATAAAATGTAATAATTTCTAAAAGAAAAAAAAAAAGGTAAATGGCAGATACATAACTACATAATATAAAACAAAACATTTACTAAAAATATATGAAACAACACATTTACCAAAAATGTATGAAAGAGCACATTTACTAAAAACGTAAGAATTGTCTGAGGCAAAAGAAAAAGAAGAAGAATAAGTATGAAAAGCCAACAAAAATCTTCCATCTCAATTACCAGGTTTTTTATCAGCATGATAGGCGCAATAGGTATTCAAGATGATTGTTATGTCTTCATTGGTGTGAGCAGACACTTCTCGCAGCCACAAAGCTCGGTGTTGACGTACAAACTGCAATGCATCAACCCATCGTTGGTCTGCAACAAGCTGCAAGAGCTGTGGGGAAGAATATGGAAATATTATTTACTGAAGAAAAAATATGATTAATAGAAACTACAAAGAGTATATATATATTTTTTAACTATAAAGGATTGAATTTGTGCACCTTTGCCAAACAAAACATGTATATATATATATATATATATATATATATATATATATATATATATATATATATATATATATATATAGAGAGAGAGAGAGAGAGAGAGAGAGAGAGAGAGAGAGAGAGAGAGAGAGAGAGAGAGAGAGAGAGAGAGAGAGAGAGAGAGAGAGAGAGAGAGAGAGAGAGAGAGAGAGAGAGAGAAAAAAAGAAAAAATAAGAAAGAAAGATTTTTTTTATATTCATTTATTTATTTATCTATTTATTATATAAACTTACAAAAGTCAGACAGATATACCTATCACTCATTATATTAACCCTTTGTATGGAAAAGAAAAGATATACATGCTTTGGCAAAGCTGGGCCTAAAAAATGGTCCTTTCCATTTATAATTGTGATAATACTTGTCAGAAACTTGTAATACCCTCAAATTGTTTTTTTCTACTTGAGCAATACAGCATAAATAGAAAGCAAAATTTACATTCGATATAAATTGTAATTTTCTAAAAACAATTATTTTTTCACACATCTGATGACCTCATTGGCTGAAATTTTGTGCGCTTACAGGTCATACACTTAAGAGAGGGCAGATGTATGTGATATTCATCCTTAGCCTTGGATACAACCATTGCTAGTATCTCTTGTGGCCAAATGTTTTCTTGCTGGTGATCATGGATGAGGGAGCTAGGGAGGAGATAGAAGCAGCAGTTCTGACTCTTATGGCCGTATGCATAAAGAAACTGTGTAATGCAAATCAGTTATTAACACAATTTTCTTATGCTAGAATCTTCACGATTGCAGGAAGTCTTAGAGTAATTTTAGGACTGTCAGTTACAAATATACAGTGTTCATATCCTTTTGCATTTTGCAGTATTACTCCTTAGTAGAGGATTTTGTGCTTCAGAGTGTATTCCAAAAGATCTAAGGTCTAAAGGTCTGATTATATATAAAATTGTAGACACATCTTGCTTTTGGTATATCTATAGCACTGATTCCTCTAGTCATTATCATAAACATCCTATGATTAGCCTTATACAGAGTTTATGGTGTAATTTCAAGTGACATGTAAATTCACAAAAATATAAACACTTTAAATGTGCAAGGATGAGAGTCCACTTAGCGGACAGCACATCATTTCAAAGAGCCTACTCAAAGGGTTAACCTTTTCTATCCAGAACTGTATACTTGAGGTAGGAGCAAAAGAGTCACGGTTTTGCCTCCATTGTCTTTCATGCTTTGGGGGATTTTCTCATATCTGCTCCTAAAAATGTATTTTCCAATAAACTGCTATAAATGTCTGGGTCTGAAACATGTTTTTCAACTAATTTTATAAATATAGAAGGAAATGAGATATCCAGTATTTCAACGGTCCAGATATAAAAGGGTAAATTAACCCATTTCATCCAGTTGCTTCACAGCAATATCACTGGTATTAGGCTTATGCTCACGCTCTGATGGGTGCGTTGCTTGCAGGCCGGGCATATGCAAAAACTTGTGTACAGTAACAAGACTCTATGCCTCACCTTTGCAATGTTATTTTCTCTTTTTATCATACGCATTTTAGTTTTTTTGCCATTTTCCAATGTCGACATTTGTCTTTTGATCTGCGTTTATCTAGATGGCAATAGACTGTTTTCTTTGCATAAACTCAATATCATCACTCTTGGTAGTCCATGACTCAGGGCAAGGGGAATAAAAAAAAAGAAAGAAAAAAGTTATTTATATAATTTCAATTTTCTGTAAAAGAACTTGCCATTTCCATGATGAGGATGGAAATGGGATCCTCAATGGAGCTGGCACATTACATTACATTCCACACTCATTTCTTGAAGGAGTAATGCAAAAGCCCCTTTCTAAACACCAAATGAAGCTAATCACCCTCCAAGAGGTTTGTGCATTTGTGGTTAATCTTTTCTGTCACCCCAGCCTTCAGCTGAAATGCTCATGACAGTGAGACTGCTTCACCCAGGCTAGATTTTCCCATGATGGCATTTTCACATTACATGCCCCTCAAACCAAATTTTTAAAATGAGAAATGGTCATGTCATCCAAATCAAAAGAGTTAAAGCTTGTGACAATCTGTATATTCAGTAACATACCTGTAACCCTTTTCATTCAAACAATCCATCATTTAACGCACCTGTCGTTCTGCTTCTGGTCGAGAACCTGGGGGGGCAACTGGAAGCTCCAGAGACTGGGATCCCAAGGATGAGGAACTGACAGGGGAACCTCCTTCTGCACGACTGATACTGCTCTCACATGCGCTTCCTCCTTCACTCTCCTCTCCTCCAACACTCTCACATTCTCCTCCTCTCCTTGAAATAAAAAGCAGGCAGTTAAAGGGAATATTCAAATATCCAGAATCAAAGACATATTGAAATGTGAAGCGAAACTGGATAATTGGAGACAACTTCAAAACAGAGGAAAAGGTTTAGACCATCCAAGGAATTTTTAAAAATAAGAATACAAGGTACCCTCAATAGCATATATATTTATACAATTTACTAATCATAAATCATACACACACCCTCAGGCTCATTATGCATTGATAACACCTTAGTCTTTTCTCACCTCAGGCAATTCTCTTTCTGGTGGCAAGGAGTGAGAGCTGCGAGTGGGGGTAGTTGGGGGGGTGGCATCGATCTGCTCTGCTGCAGCCATGAGTTTTCCCTGCAGTGCACTCAGCTCCACGCTATGATCACTAGCCTGAGGTAAAAGAAGTAGTGTGTGTGTGTGATATAGAATATGAGTACTTTGTTTGTTAGTATGTACAATAACACAAATTATTAGAAAATATATGTGATTGTGTGTGGGTGAGAGAGAGACTGGCTATGTCATGTGATCATATTCTTGCACAAATCTTTGGACCTATCTTGTATTTCTTCAACGTCAATTATCAGTTGAAATGCTGAAGGTCAACCAATCTCACCTGGCTGTTTCTGGCAGCATGTAGCATTGCTACAATAAACTTGGCATATGTGTCATAGAAGAAGAGAGAGCTGGAAGTGCAGCTTGTACAAACAGCGACACAGGTCAATGTGCTGTTCGTCTGCACACAGTTCTGGTAAACTCTCACCAAGATTCTGGAGCTTGAGCGTCGACTTAATACCATCGAGACACTGGAGGTATAAGGAAGGTGTAAATCAACTGATCAACGCTTCAGATTATTACAAAATGATTTATAAAAAGTATTGTGGTTTGTTTGTGTATACATGCATGCAATTTCCACTTGATAAACTACAATATGAAAGAATTTGTGGACTGAATCTGTACTTATATATGGAAGGTGTAAATAAAACATTAATATCTTCTAACTGCACTGCCATGTGATTGCCTTTTGATATACTAATCTGACTGCATCAAAATAACTACTAAATTTCCTTACTCTATCATCATCTATACATCATGACATTGTAAAAAAAAAGTAATTTCTGTTCATTTATTTTTTGTATACCTATGGTGATGGGGCCTGATTTATTTGCAATGTAATATATTATGCAATAGTCTAGACTTTGTAGCTAGGCCTAAGCTGTGTAATGCCGGCCCATCTTTTGTGAGTCATGACACATTTACAAGTCATAGGCTATTACATCATGCCATCCTCACTGAGGGCACATGGTCAATATATTATTCTTATTATCAACAAAATCACACAACAGAAGACAACAAATATATAAAAAATTTAAACTCACAACAATGGCACTCTCCCTCTTGTCTAGGTATGTGTCAAGGTGTTCGTGGAGAGCGATGAATTTGACCTAAATCGCTGCATCAGCTGTGTACTTCCCAATAAGGTAGCGTCTACATACACGTATGCTAGAGGTGCTAGATATCCAACGGTCTGAAAAAAGTGGTGAGAACTGCTGGATAAATATCATATGATGATGCATTCTTCTAATCATTCATCATCTATTGGTCTGTTTCACAAGAAATTATGTGAAGATTTGATAGCATGCCTATGACTGTCAAAACTTGAATGAATGGTCAAAAATGAGAAAGAAAGAAAAGCACAAACCTCCATATGATGCAAGAAGGAAGCAGCAAGTGGAATCATCTCACCATTCTCTCCCAGGTAGTGGCTGCTCTCACTCACTAGCTCAGTAAACTTAACAACGCATTCCTGTTGATGATCAGCACATAATTATGTATCTAGCCACTACGGACCTAACTGAAATGCCATCTTACAAACACCTATTTTTCCACAGTGGTCTATCCTCTGACAAATGTAAATAAGGTGTTTCTACTTATATTTTAGAATGTAATTTCTAATTAGCTTAAAATAATGCATACACAATAGACTAACAACTCACAGAAAATACAGTGTTGTAGAGTGTACAGGTCCTGTGGGATGTGGAATGGGGGCATCAGCTGCCATGAGAGACAACAGGTGGCACGCCAGGCATCCTCTAAATCATTGGGCTGTCGGATTGGGCGGAAAAGCATGGCAGCAATACTAGGAGATGCATTGCAAGGAGTCATGTCACCTAGATCACCATCACTGCTTTCACTGTGACTGAAAGATGAGAAGTAGAAAGCTTTGACTTTGGGTGACACAGTATATCATGGTGCAACATAAATCATTCTAAGATAATGAAATGAACTCATTACAGCTAAGGGGGATTCAAGCCACTCTATATCCTTTTAGCACCCACTCCCTTACTCACTCAGACATGGATGTGGGTGAGGCAGGTCTGCGTGCAGCAATGGTATCAAGGGTTAGCTTGGGTGCTATGGTGGTATGAGGAGCTGCAGCAGGCTGAGCATGGTGGATCAAGGGTTCTGCTGACCGCTCACTGGGGCCCATGGCAGGATCATCTACAGGTGATACGGAACCCTCTTCTTCCCACCACTCATGGTCAGCAGGGGGGTTGGCTTCTTGACGTGCGATGGGGTCATCTCTGAACTCTGTGCGTCATCAATGTGGCTGGAAGGCTCACCATCCCCAAGATTGTTTGGGGAGCGACGACGCACACCCCACAAGTTGAAGTTGTCCACACTTTCTTCCTAAATTTGGGGAATGTAGAGATATATGGTATTATGCATGCCAAACAGAAAATGTTATATATGGCATTCAATCAAACAATCAACAAGGGTTAATACTGAGCAGATCACAAAGTAACCATCAATTTGATAATAATAATAATGATGATTCCCTAAACTAAAAAAAAAAAAAAAAAGAAACAGAAGCTTTAGGTACAACTATCTGGAAGAAAGGAAGCCCCTATAACATAAAAATTAAATAAAGGTAACGAGAACAAAGGAGACAATATCTTAAACTCAGAATTCACTACTCACCCCCTGACTCTCCAGCTCGTATTCAAGGAAATCAAAGTCCTTGAAGACTGCGAACTGCTTCTCGGACGAAGTCATGTCATCAGCCGTGCGGTCGTTTGTTTGTGTCCCCTGGGGCGACTGACACTTCTTCGGTCGATGAGGCCATTGACGATTGTCTCTCTAGCTCGGAGCTTTGACTGAATATCACCTAGATTAGGGGTGGAGAGACGCTATTACTATGCTAATATTAGGACGACAGCAAGTAGATTAAGCGTTGAAATGGAACATAAGGTGTTTGCACTACCACAGTTGGTGTAAGGTGCGTATGGTTAACACATTTAATATCAGCTGACCATTTAGAAGTCTTGTGATGTAAGATATGAATATTCCAGAAGGGACAGCTAGTGCTATAACGTAACAAAATTAGTATTACAAAAGCTTACAACATAACATGCGACAACTTTTTCCTAGTTTGGATCATGCAGTTTTTAATTATGGGAGGCAAGTTATGATTAGTTATAGTAGAATCCCAGTCACACACACATATAAACAATCACACTAATTACCAAATACATACATATACTCTTGGGCATGTGTGTACATACATACATACATAATACACACACACACACACACACACACACCACACACACAAACACACATGCCCAGCTTACATTAAAACAAACACACAAACACACACGAACAAACAGGCATACACGGGCATGGTTTAAATTTGAATATTTCTATCATATCTCTTTTATCATTATGACTAATAAATTAATCTAGCTTAGAAATACATTCTTCACCTTAAAAATATCCTACAATATTTCAAAAATATAATCTTATAGTAAATATCTATCAATATTGCAATGATATATGTCAAGTTCTTGAAATCTACTGAATAATAATAATAACAATTTTCTGGGACCATCATACTTATTGCTATAGTATCACAATGTAAGATTTGAATACTAAATGTTTCCATGCAAATCTACTATAATGAATAAAAACAAGATGCATACCTCACTACATATGCAACCCACATACAAAATCATGCAAGTAAAACTAAAAACAAAAGGTGCTTTTTCCTTCATGCTTAAAAACAAAACAAAAACAAAAGCTCTCAAAAGCATGCAACAACAGTTCCTCAAAGCCGCAACAAGCAAACGGGCAGCCCAAAGCATTTTTAAAAGCAAGTGCAAGCAACAAGGTACGTCAGTCTGGCACTCAAGAATAACTACAAGCAAACAAGAAATCAAAAGTTTTTTTTCTTTTCTTTCTAGTCTACTCATATTTTTATCTTTAATTTGTTTCTTTTTTTCTTGTCTAATTTCTATGGATCAAATTGAGCTTATAAACATTCAAAGGAATCCTCATTTGGTAAGTTCTAAGGTCTTGAAATGTCTACAGTATATTAGGCAAGAAAATAAAGGGAATGTAACAAGCTGAAACATTAGTAATACGTATAATTTAAGTGGAATCAATATGCCAATTCACTGTAGTCCACTTCCATTAATTTCGAACCAAGGATATATACTGTACTGGGAAGCTCATCCCTTGGAGTTATAATTTAGAAAACAACCATAAACTTTAGAATAAAATATCAACAGAATCTGAAAACATTATGAAATGACACAAAAAATTGGTATACTACAATATCACTATAAAACCTTATCTTGATGGGAATTAGTTTACATCAAGTACAGAAAGGTGCAATATAAACTGCTGGGAGGTGGAAAAAACATAAATACACCTAGGTTTCTTTTAATTTCTATCTTCCCTCCATAGAGTAAAAATGCCATTTAGATCTTCATATCTAGAGCATACATCTATGTTTATCCATAATAGAGAGAGAGTGCATTTTAAAAATCCAGACATATGCACAGAGTTCATTATGACAATAGTAGATAGTGGCATAAATGAGACTGAATTGCCTACGCTATGAGGTTTTCCAATCTCATTTATACCTTTACTACACCAGACATATGCCTTACTAAAGAGAAAGTGCATATCCTTTTTAATCCAGACATTATGCCTTGCTAATCAAAAGTGATGTTGTTATTAGTAAATTTAGTGCCAATATATATTCCTGGTTCATGAGAGACAATTACCTTACTGATGTTGCCATCCTGCTGCACACCATTACCAGAACAACCATGGAACGAAGAGAGACACGAGAGACGAGGTTAATTTCAAGCCATGCCATTCCCCACAAGACTTACTTTCTTTTTTTTTCTCTTTTTTTCTTTTGTTGTATGGAAGGAGAAGGGCATTGGAAACCAGACAGCTATTCAAATACATTTTCTTCCCACTTGTGTAATCCACTTCTCAAAAACATGTGACTTCTCTTTGTGCACCATATATCAGTGACACTACTTTCAATAAGAATAAGCTTATAGTAAGAAAAGAAAATGTACTCTCTTAGCTCTCTGATTAAAAAAACTCCATTGAAGCTACAATAAATAATTAGGCAGCTACCTATTTTCTTACTTACTCATCTACTAGATCAACAATTTCTCAAAGGTCTATTTCATGCTAAAATGTACAATTATCATGATCAGCCTCTTTTTCCAGCTTTTTTTTTTTTAACATCATTATTCCTTATATATGAAACATTTATCCCATGTTAAAACCTCTATTTGATTTCATTAAAAGATTTAATATCATAATATGGAAAAATGTGTTCATCCATGGATTTATATATATATATAACTGATACAGAAAATTTACAGAGTATTTTTTTTACAATTCATACCTATATGTAAAAAAGTGTGAGAGGTGGGGAGGGGGAGTGGACGGGAGAGAGGAGAGAGGGAGAGGGAGGGAGAGAGAGAGGGAGAGAGATATGAGAGAGAAGAGAGGGAGAGTGGGCATTTGTCCATATGCAAGTCCACTGGTTTCCATGTGCATACTTGTAGGTGTGTGAAGTCTTGCATATACAAAAGCACTGGTGTGTATGCAAGTGCATGTATGTGTACATGTACTTGTGTGTATTTAAGTGCTAGTATATGTAATGTGTGTTTATGCATAAATGAGTGCTTGTATGTGTATGTGTGCTTGTGTGTATATGCCTAGATGCGAGTGTCTAGAACTGCGCATTTAGACATGTATGTGTTCAATAGCACATAACTCTGTGAATATGCCTGCTTTGTCATGTCTTTTCAGTTGAGTCTGTTAATGTACAACCAAATGTGTAAAGGTTTTTAAATATATGTATTGTGAATATGTAAATGGTGTAGTATGGAAATCTACACGCATAATTATTGAAATCATCAAGTGCAAAGATTTTCTGTGGACAGATATTGGTGTCAGAGAGCAGAACCTAGACATAGAGCTGTTTATCCATATATGAATCACATTTTCAAGACTGACTTCCAAAATTATCTGATTTAACTTCCATATTATCTTTTACTTAATGCATTGATTTAATTTCCGTAAACAGAGGTTAGCTCGCACATATTTACAAACTCCAAGTGCTGGTGTAACAATTGTTGAATGAAAGCATGCCCCTTTTTCTGCAAAAAACAGTGGCATCATATTTGTAACAAGAAAGAGAAAAAATGCATTAATTGCTGTTAAATCTTCAAGCAGATGATATACTGAAAGAGACATTGAATCTACCACATTTCCCACACACAGTTTGGTGTTTGAGACAAACGTTTCTCTATGATGTGCAATATATCAAAACAAAGACAAATAAATTTTACTTATAAAGACTGCAACTGGTTTTTGAAAATTTGGAAAATTTTGAGCTTTATCAAAATTGTGACTTGTTATTGCATAAAACATGAAAAAGCAAATTTATTTCAGAGAGTTAACTTTAAACATAAAGAATCTTTCTTACTTTACATGGAATTGCCAAACATAATCATTTCATCCATGCTAAACACAGTCAACAAATTTGTGTGGAACGATACTAGGACGACTGTCATTACTTACATTTGAAACACAATAAATAATAAAAAAATGTCACATCTTGTGCTCTGCATTTTTCAAAACAACATGGTGTTTTAAGAAATCATTAATTCAGGAAAAAAAAATTATATTTAGGCAAGAGCTTTTCCAAGGTGACACTTTCGTTCTTTTGGGATATGTGGCATAAGATCCAAAGAACTACTTAGCATTAGCATGACAGTGTCTACAGGAGACACAGAAAGCTTGCCATGCTAGATACTAATGTGGATAAATATTAGAAACTACCTACTTTAGAAGTCTCATGCTGAGTTAGTACAGAAACCCATACAGCCTGAAACAATTAAGAACTTAACATGCTGTTCTGGAAGTCTTATTTCATTGTATAATATATCTGTAAATGTTGCAACTTTATGTATTAGATACAACTATTGTATTATATGTTTACAATGAATATATGTGATCAGTATATAAATATATACATATATATATAATACATTGAAAAAGAGTAGGTGATTATTCCCTGTTATTAGTAAACCTATTCATTGAAAGAAAATAAATATATAACTTTTGTTATCATTTATGGCCATATATAATGACAAATGAATCTAGCCCTTAAATATCTGGCTGAACTCATTACATAAGCTGATAACAAGATAGTTCAGCGTATTCTCCACGTAATTCATTTCCAAGCAAGCACTACACTATCATCTCAAATCTATGCAGGGTCTGAGGAATGATTAAAACATTGATGAACAAAAAATATAGAACTTATATATAACAAGTATAGAATCTTCTTGAAAATTCCAGTAACCTCAAGATGACTACGAACTTTATATTTTCAAAATATGGATGTAGGAATACGTAGATTCTTATGCACTTCCATACTTCTTTTTATGATTGGCAAAGTTGCATGTAAGACTTTTCACATTATAAGGTTACTGTCAAGCAACTCCATTATGTCATTTCTTCCATAGTATCTATCAGTGATTTACTCATTAAAATTGTCTTTTTTGTAGGAAATGAAGAATTTCTTCTTGACATGAATTACTTGAGATTGAAAGTAACTCCAGATACTTATGATTATTATCATGATTATGTTTTATTTACAAAATGTATAAATAAATATTGTATCTCTTGACAAAATTAAATGGCAAATGTGTATATCTGTGTGTGTGGGGGGATATGTGTGTGTGTGTGTGTGTGTGTGTGTGTGTGTGTGTGTGTGTGTGTGTGTGTGTGTGTGTGTGTGTGTGTGTGTGTGTTTGTGTGTGTGTGTGTGAGTGTGTGTGTGTGTGTGTGTGGTGTGTGTGTGTGTGTGTGTGTGTGTGTGTGTGTGTGTGTGTGTGTGTGTGTGTGTGTGTGTGTGTGTGTGTTGTGTGTGTGTGTGTGTGTGTGTGTGTGTGTGTGTGTGTGTGTGTGTGTGTGTGTGTGTGTGTGTGTGTGTGTGTGGTGTGTGTGTGTTGTGTGTGTGAGGGGATGTGTATGTGTGTGTGCGTGTGTGTGTGTGTGTGTGTGTGTGTGTGTGTGTGGTGTGTGTGTGTGTGTGTGTGTGTGTGTGTGTGTGTGTGTGTGTGTGTGTGTGTGTGTGTGTGTGTGTGTGTGCGTGTGTGTGTGTGTGTGTGTGCGTGTGTGTGTGTGTGTGTGTGTGTGTGTGTGTGTGTGTGTGTGTGTGTGTGTGTGTGTGTGTGTGTGTGTGTGTGTGTGTGTGTGTGTGTGTGTTGTGGTGTGTTAGAGTGTGAGTGTGAGTGTGAGTGTGAGTGTGAGTGTGAGTGTGCGTGTGAGTGTGCGTGTGAGTGTGCGTGTGCGTGAGAGGATGTGTGCGTGCATGTGTGTTTGAAGGTATGTATGTGTCCATGCTTGTGGGTATGTGTTCTGTGTGTGTTTGTATTTGTGTAAGTATACATGTGAATGTGAAATGCATATATTCAATTTGAATGTTAAAAAGATTGTAATGTACCAAGAAAAATAGTTTCATAAATAATAATAACAATAAAGGAAAAAAGCAAGCATTTTGGGAATTTTAGTAAAACAAGGGTTAATAAAATGTTAAATGACATGCAATCTAACATCTTTTTAAAAATACATATTAATTAGTATGTAAAATTTTTACAGCTATACAAAACCATGGGAAAAATATAGGAACATTTTTTACATGCCATGACATGAAAAAAAAACAACAACAGAAACTGAAAGGCCTAAATAATGTCAGAAAACAAAAAAGTAACAAAGGCGCTACAGATGAACTGTTGCACAAACTGAAATTAAAATGATGTAAACATAAAAAAAACTAGTACAGTGTATCTTTTTTATGTTTGTTAAATACTCTGTGTAATATTTTAACTTCAAATGAAAAAACAAACAAGAAAGAACCAAGAATTACTTTACTATTTGAAATGACCATTTATCAGTCCTTTCAATATATCAATTGCCAATCTCTGTTGAAAATATCCTGAATGTAATTCATTCTGAAAATCTACAGCAATTATAAATCTAATACTTACAACGAATATCAACCATAAATGTACCATTCAAATGATACTATCAAAACACAACTTGAGGATACTGGATTTCCAACAAAAGGTAAAAAAAGAAAGAAAAAATGTTTGTCAAATAATTCCTAGAATGTTTCAAAATAAATCATATGTATCACATAAGAGCCAAACTGAACCGCTTGGCATCACAGTCAACCACAACCAGGACTACGTACCGACGGAGACTTGGGGAGACCCACACGCTGGCCACAAGTGTTCAGGAGGTTCACTAAGCACTCTCTTACACGTGCCTGAAATTTTATATGTACATATATTTCATTTATCTCATTCTATCAACTTTCACTCTCAAATGCAAGGTTTTTAAACTTTTGATTTCATCTCATCACGCAGGAGATATAGATCATGTTTAAAATATATAACAATTATAATGATCTTATTCTAATAATAAGATGTTTTGTTTCACATTAACTTTTTCCTGTTTTCAACATTCAACATGCTATAAATATGGATATTATCCTTGGAAAAAAATATTTTCAAAGAATTGTTAACTCATCCTTCATAACAAATATATATTCTTCCTCTGAACAAATAAAGAACATTAGGATAATCATCAAAATTCTATCACTAATATACCATAAAACTCATTCTGAAACTGCTAAGAAATCACTCCCCTCATGAAATGATTACAAACTATAAAACAACTGTCAGTGGATTGCAAACCTGTGACAACCATGGTCGTTTCCAACCTGCCAGGTTGTTGGTGTCTGCTGCTGAGAGGGAGAGACTGCGACGTGGAGATGAAGTTTCAGCTCGGTCAATACCCATTGCACCTGCGCTGTCACTTACGGATCGTTCCTGGAGAAAGAAATTTGTTGAAATTTCTATTGTTTGAAGTATCTGATTATTTCAAAAATCTATTTCACTGAGAGTGTGACATAAAAATTGCAAACAATAACAGAAATATTCATGTTATTGTAATTCTCAATATCAAAGCAAAAATAGAATAACAAAAAAGGACCCTTAACTTGAACTATGGCCATATTCAAGAAAATATACAGAAAAGTACCCTGAAATCTACAGAAAGTTTATTAAGAAAAAGACATTCCAAAATTGAGATCCCTTTATGTCCTGTGAATGGAATGACTGCTATCAACTAAACTTTCTCTAAAGACATGCAAAATGAATGGTACCATCATGATGGTAATTTCAGTATTCACATTAAAAGATGTCAATTACATCCCCCAATTCACAAAAAAGAAAATGGTAAATAATCTATGCCTTTAATAATGATAAAAGGTGGGAACCAGTAACCCTTTAGCAATATTTCATATTCGCAAACAGATAAAAATACCTTCAAATATTACATAAATAAAAAAAAAATCTCATTAAATATATCTTTTAAGGCAAAAACCTTTACCTGTTCCCTATCCTGCAAACTGTCACTTGTTGCAGAACTGACAGTAGATGACCAGCGCTGATTTGGCCAGGGAGGACCACCATCCCAGAGCCCTTGAGATAACGACGACCGATGACAGGGGTCTGGCTTACGTCGAATGTGAACTCCATTGTGCGACCTGTAATTCAATGTCTTTCTTTTTTAGAATGTGATGTGACAACAAGGAAAAGATTTAATAACTTCTAAATAAAATGGATATAGGGAAAAGAAAGGCAAAGTTTAAGAAAAAGAATAAGGAGAAGGAGGAGGAGAAAAGGAGGAAGAGTAGACAATGAAGAAGAAAAAGAAAACAGAGGAGAGGAGAGGAGAGGAGTAGGAGAGGAAGAGAAAGAGGAAGAGAAGCAAAATCATAATACAAGTAAATCACAAATCAATCTAATAAATAAATAAATAAATAAATAAATAAAAAATAATTAAGTAAACCTATCTCACCAGGCAACTCCTTCTTGAAAATGAGATTCAATATCAGCAAAGACATGGTGATCCCAATAATGTGTATGAGAGGAGGCAGGAGGAACGACAAGGGATGATGAGCGTGTCACAGCCATCTTCAAGATCCTGAGGGCTTCTTTCCAGTGAGATCCCTGTGAAAAGGGTTAAAGAAATATTATGTGTGTATAGATGTGTGTGTGTTTATAGATGTGTGTGTGTGTATAGATGCGTGTGTGTGTATAGATGTGTGTGTGTATATAGATGTGTGTGTGTATAGATGTGTGTGTGTGTATAGATGTGTGTGTGTGTATAGATGTGTGTGTGTGTATAGATGTGTGTGTGTGTATAGATGTGTGTGTGTGTATAGATGTTGTGTGTGTGTATAAATGTGTGTGTGTGTATAGATGTGTGTGTGTGTATAGATGTGTGTGTGTGTATAGATGTGTGTGTGTGTATAGATGTGTGTGTGTGTTTTAGATTGTGTGTGTGTGTGTGTGTGTGTGTGTGTGTGTGTGTGTGTGTGTGTGTGTGTGTGTGTGTGTGGTGTGTGTGTGTGTGTGTGTGTGTGTGTGTGTGTGTGTGTGTGTGTGTGTGTGTGTTGTGTGTGTGTGTGTGTGTGTGTATGTGTGTGTGTACGTAAGCACATGTGCACATGATGTACTTGTCCAGAGAGGAATTTACCATATTTCAAATATAACCATTCTCCCTTCTCCCATCCTAAGGATCACCCCATATTCAACACATTTCAGCTATTTCTCATCGGTCACCACAACTTACCTCAATGTATTTAGCAAGACCCTCAATAGATCCCATTGACTAGTTGGGCAGCTGCTGTATTAATGTCAATGTAATGGAGCATGCAGTGCAGAATATTGAGAATGGGATTTTGCACACTTGCTGGTCCTTTTTCCAACACCTGAAATATGTGTAAGGTGTTTTAACTGTGAGTCTGTCCTTGTACAAAAAAAAATCTCTAAAAGACTGTTAACATAATCATCTACACTATGAGTGAAAAAGAAAGAAAACTATACCTTAAGTATAAAAATTGAAAGAAAATACATAATAGAAGAAATA